GCAAGCAGGCAAGCAAGCAAGCAGGCAAGCAAGCAGGCAAGCAAGCAAGCAGGCAAGCAAGCAAGCAAGCAAGCAAGCAGGCAAGCAAGCAAGCAAGCAAGCAGGCAGGCAAGCAAGCAGGCAAGCAAGCAAGCAGGCAAGCAAGCAAGCAAGCAAGATGTTTTTTAACAGATGGTGTTACCCTGTACAGGCGACCCTAGAGAATGTCATAAATTGCCAAAAACCCACTACTGTCGGCCGTTAGACAAAAAATTGAAAATACATGTGCAGCAATCTCAATGACCAGTGTTACCCAGCAGTAGTTCACTGTGCTAATAAATGTTTGGAAGCTACTGGCCACCACTTTGAGCACCTCTTGGAATTGTAGAGGCCAAAGGTAATGCATTAATCTCATGATATCTCAATAAATTTAGTATTGAAATATTTATATACAGTTTTTTCTTTTCCTGAAATGTTATTGGGTATTATATGCTGCCAAGTGTACAGTGGCACACACCTATAATTCCAGCACTCTAGGAGGCTGAGGCAAGAGGATCACAAGTACAAGACCAGCCTGTACAACCCAGCAACTTAGCAAGACCTTGTCTCAATAAACAAACAAATTAATAGGCTGGGGATGTAGCTCAGTGCAAAGACCCATAAAACAACTAAGAAAAATATTGCCCATTGAAATTCCCCAGAAGTGAAACTGGGGGGCAGCAAAGAGGTGAAAGAGGGGTGACCGAAGACAGCATGGCCGAAGTGTCGAGTGCATGTACCATTCTGCCAAAGTAAAACCCACTGATCTGTCTAGCCAGTACGCACTCATACAAGAGATGTGAAACAACAAAAAAAGATTTTTCTATAAAAAATAATAATCCAGGGGCCAGGGATTTAGCTCAGTGGTTCCGCTGCCTGCCTAACAAGCGCATGGTCCTGAGTTTGATCCCCAGCACCAAAACAAAACAAAACAAAACAAAACAAAAATAATAATAACCCTATAGGATGCTGAGCAAAGACCATGAACAGGCAATTTCTAGGAGGGGTGAGGAGAGCATGGGGAGAGAAGTTCACCTTGTTCCTAATCAGAAAAATTCAGTGTTGAATAGCTATATTTCTTCATAGTTCTGTACTATTCATTCACACAATTTACAAGGCTGAGTAATGAGGAGTGTTGGCCAGGATGTAAGGAAAGGTGTGCGTTGTGGATGGGCATGCTGCAGAACAGAGAGAAACCTGACAGTACCAGACAACAAGTGTGCACCCAGCCTAAGACCCAGTGACCTCAGAGATGCTCTTGCAGGATCCACAGCTAGGTTCTCTGGAAGTGTTTGGGGTGGCAAGAAGTTGGAGGCCACCTCAGCGTCTATCACTGGAAGAATGGTTCAATAAGAAGAGGGAAGAAAGATGTTTAAAAGAAACCCCTCCCTTTTATAAAGAAACTGAAGATTTTCCCAGGAATCCCACCCATCAGACTTCTGCTAGCATTTCATTGGAAAAAATTGCACAAGTACATAGTCACACCTTAACAAAAAGTGATAAGAAAGAAGAGAGACAGTGGTAGGGATTGTATCAGCTAATCCAAGATGGCTGACATAATCCAGAACTCCTCTGATGCACTGACATTTCACTGTTAGCTAGGAACAGCAGCCATCTTGTGGCTGAGAGGGAAAAATAAGACAATCCCAGACAAGGCCCTGACATCAAGTTGGCCCACCAACACCAACAGTTTGTTTTTAATCCTGAACTTTTTATCCTGTGTAAAAAATAAACCCTTATTTCTCAGCCATATGCATCAGTTAGAATCACTTGAGAACAATAAAAATAAATCTGGTTAGTTTAAATAGAAAGGGTTGGAAATGTAGGCTCTAGGTCAGGAACTATGCCAAGCTTTAAGTATCACATGAACCTCTGCCCGTGACTGAAAAAACAAGTCACTACTACAGGAAGCTGATGCATCAGGAAATTGCTCCAGAGCCTGCCTGCTACTGTCCTGATCTGTGACAGCAAAACGGATGTCCCATGCTTTGTTCCAAATTTATGCCTTGTGCAAGAGCAGGACCTGAGCCACAGATTCTTAGCTCAAGGGAACCTAGGAAGTGCTGTTTAGCTTTCCAGCTAGACAGTGTTCAGAAGAAACACTAAAAGCACCACTGGATTGATGAACAATAGACCTGTTGCAGACACCACACTACCAAGGGCAGCTTCTGCTGACTCAAAACCAGATATGCTCCTCACTGCTAACTACACGTGAAGCCACAGGATGGATCTTCAACACACAGTATTGAGGGAAACATACCCAAACAGAAGGAGTTCAGAAGCACAATTGATAACAAGCTAGTTTAAAGCACATACATAAGCTGAACATGGTGGCACAGGCCTGTAACCCCCGCACCTGGGAGGCTGAGGCAGAAGGATTGCCGTGAGTTCAAGGCCAGCCTGAACTACAGAGTGAGAAGCTGTCTCACAAAATCAAACAAAAATTAAAATAAAACAGCACATACCCAAGTCAACAGTACCTTTTTTGATGGAATGTACATTTTTAAGGATATATAAAGGAAAACCAGTAAAGTGAGAAAGAGAAAAGGGTGTGGGGATCAGGGATGAAAGAGAAATAAAATAAAAGCAAGAGAATAAACCAGGCATGGTGACACATAGCTGTAATCCTAGTGCTCAGGAGGCTGAGGCAGGAGGATTGTAAATTTGAAGCCAGCCTAGGCTACCATAGCAAGTTCGAGGCCAGCTGAACTACAGAGTGAGACATGGTCTCAAAACAAAGCAACAACAACAACAACAACAAAACCCAAGAGAGCAGTCCTGTACAAAAGTAACACAAGTAGAGTAATGTGACCCCATTTAATGAGAGTCCTGCACTCACACCCTCTCTGTCTCTGTCTCATCCCCAAACCGCGCTCCAACCAAGGGAAGGCGCCTTCAGGCTCTCGGAGGCAGGTGGAAGAAGGCTGCTTCTGGGCACAGCTGGCAGAGAAGCCCGAAGGAGGGCAAGACCAGTGCTACTCAGCGATGCTGACTGGGAGGAGCTGCCGGCTCAGACATAGCCCGGTCCGGCAGGATCTTGGAAGCCTCTTGATCGGATCCAGACCCAAAGCACCCTCCTCTCCCTGTCCTCAATCCCTTCCTAACCTGCTTGACCCAGGTCAGCTCTGAGGAGCCCACAACAGCTCTTTCCAAGAAAGTCTGAACATCTGTTCCCTGCATTGCTTCCTGGTGGGGTACAGTCCTTCCGGCCACCCAGAGACGCTGATTGTGCTTTGATGCAGCTGGGGGTGCTCTGGGACCCTGCCATGACCACCTCTTAGAGATCTTTACCCAACCCCAGGTAAGGCCCCCATTGTGAACCTCACTGACTAAGTCTGACCCTCCTGCCCTCTCCAGGCTCCCTGGCTTCCGCCTGGTACATGGCTGAGACACCTGCCAAGATAAAGGCTTTTCCTGGGCAAGGGTTACAGCTGCAGGGACCCCACCCAGGATCCAGGGAGACACACTCCTCTCCACTCTGTCATAGCAGCCAGCTGTGTGAGGAGAAATTTGCCTTCTGGCCCCACCCTGGAAGAGGAGGCGCTGCCCTTTCGAGGAGGAGGGCTAGACATGTCAGAGGCACTGTCCTGCCCCAGCAAGGAGACACCTGCCGCAAGCTACAGGCTGGGGCCCCTGTACCGGGCCTGTGCCCACAATGACCCTGTCCAGCTCCAAGCTGTGCTGGATGCTGGGGTGTCCCCAGAGGAGGCCACCCAAGTGGACAGCAATGGGAGGGTGAGGTGCCTGCCCCAGGGGCAACCCAGGGCAGCTGGGGGCAGCTCTGTCTCCCCACCGTGCTGTCTTGGTCTGGCTCCTTGAGAGTTTCAGGATCGATCCGAACAGTCTGGGTCCTTAGAAGGAAGGGGTGGGTGAAGGTGGGACATGCCCTGTGACAGGTGTGGGCTTTGAGGCACGGGTCCCTAGGGAGACCCTGGAGGAAGGTGGAGACTGAGGCGCCCCAATCCCAGACAAGCCTCATGGTTGCATGTTACCAAGGCTTCAAGGGTGTTGTGGCCCTGCTCAGCTGCTGTCCTTTCCTGGATGTGAACCAGCAGGACAAAGACGGGGACACAGTCCTCATGCTGGCTGTCCAAGCAGGTGTGAGGCTGCTGACCCCCATCGTCCACCTCCATTGGGGCACAACCCTGACTGCCCAAGGTGCTACCATGCCAGGCTCTGCAGTATTGGGTGCAGGGTGGGTTTGGAATCCCATCATCCCCTCTCCTGGGGAGCCAAACTCTGCCCTCCCTGCCATGCAGGCCACGTGCATCTGGTGAGTCTCCTGCTCAACTACTTCTTGGGCCTGGATCTGGAGCGCCGGGATCAGAGGGGGCTCACAGCACTGATGAAGGCTGCCATCCGGAACCACTCTGAGTGTGTGGCCACCCTCCTCATGGCTGGTGTGTGGGGCCTGGACTGGGTGTGTGACCTGCAGTCTCTCCCCCAAGCCTCCCCACCACGCCCTCAGTCAGTCATCATTTACTGTAGAGAAAGGAGAGGCAGACGTGGAGGATCAGTGTAGGCTGGCTTCCTGGAGGAGGGGAGCATACCTCAGGGTTCTCGACAACAACGAGTCCCAGCTACTGATAGCTCTGTCTCTGGAGGGCCCAGCAAAGAACGCTTGGGAGAGTAACTTAGGCCCGCTGTGAAAAGGAAGGCAAAGAAGGGCTGGTTCTGGAATGAGGCTCTTGGGTTCTAGTCCTGGCCTTGGACCATGAACACATGGCCTTCCTCGCTGGGCCTCAGCAGCATGGTAAGGGTATTGGCCTTCTCTGAGATGACCTCCAGCCCTGACCTCTAGCTGGGTCTCTAGGGGACTCCATGATGTGCAGTTGAGACTTGTGGCCTTGGGAAGTTATTCAGGGTAGAGGCCACACCGTGGAATCGTGGTTCCTCGTTATTTCCCATGGTGGGTTGCCTTCTGGGGGATCCCAACCTCCATCTTTCCCTTCCCACCTGACTGGGTTTGGGGTGAGAAGGGAAAGAGTACACTTCTTCCTTGTCTCAGAGTGACTGTGCTCCCTACCCAGGGTTCGAGCAGTGTGGTGACGGAGAGATAAACCGGGAGAGAGGACAGACTCCTCTCCTACACTTGCCCACAAGGCACAGGGCTTCCGGTTCTCTGCTGGCTCCTGGGTTCGGGAGGCCCCTGCTCTACCACGTTGGAGACACACAGTAGGCTCTTGCAGTCTCTCCCTCGCTAGATGTCTGTCTCTTCCCCTCTCTCAACCGGAGGTTGCAATACTGGCCTCCCATGCTGGGACTCTGGCTTTGAATCCAACCCATCAGTCCTCCTGCTACAGAGTATCCACCCCTTCCCAGATCACTGCTCCCTGTCCTACCCCTTGTCACTCTATACCCTCCCAGGTGCTGACCTGACCTCTGTGGATCCTGTCCGGGGCAAGACAGCCCTGGAGTGGGCCCTGTTGATGGAGAGCTTCAACATGGTGTGGAGGATCCAGCAGCTGCTGTGTCGGCCCTGCGCAGAGCAGCTCAGCCAGCACTACCACCTTGAATGGCCAGCCTTGCCCAGGCTTGTAGCCCAGGCCCAAGCCCAGGGTACCCTGTCCTTCCTAGAAAGGTTGCAGGCCACCCTGAGTCTGTCCTTTGCCCAGTGTCCTCAGGAGGGGGTGTTCTGGACCACCTTGTGACCATCACTACCAGCCTGGCTAGTCCCTTCCTTGCCACTGCCTGCTACACTCTTTGCCCTGACCATCCTCCCACACTGGGCGCCCGAAGCAAGTCTGTGCCAGAGCTGCTAGGTACTGCCCCCCCCTTGTCTCCCCAGCCTCCCCAAGTGGTCCCTGGCTCCCAAATTTTTGTCCCCTACAGCCCTCAGGGCATGTTCTCTCAGTGGCTACAGCCCAGGGACCATACCAGGTCCCTTACCCAAGATCCTCCTCTCCAAGGCACCTTCATCCCCCAGCCAGTCCAAGCTGATGGTGCCCACACATGAAAGCCATCAAAGTCTTGCCCTTCCTCTCTGGCGATACCAGAAGCTCGGGATGAAGAGAAAGCAACAAGAAGAGGAGCTCAGGGGGGCACAGAATTAGAGGAAGATGGGCTAGGCCAGGCTGGGAGCAGGTAACCATGCCCTTTCCTCAGCTCCTTTCCCATCCAGAGCTTCTTCTAAAGCCTTCCCACTCATCTCTGCCTAAGTGAACCCGCTTCCAACCTATGGACAAGGTTATTCAGTACAGCATTGTTGACAACGGCAGAAGAGTAGAGCCAAGCAGGTGTCCCTCAGTAGGGTATTGGCTGAATTGATTATGGGGTAGTTACTGTCCACCCATACACTGCATTCTAAAGCAAGACTAAGAGCTGGGCACAGTGATGCAAGCCTGTAATCCTAGCTATTCACAAGGCTGGGCAGGAGGATCACAAGTTTGAGCCCAGCCGAGGGAGCTTAGCAAGCCCTTGTCTCAAAAAATAAAAAGATCTGGGGATGAGATTAGTGGTAAAGCAACCCTAGGTTCCATCCCCAATACTGTAAGAATAAGAAAGCTTTTTACATTCTGTTTTAAAACAATCTTTAAAATGTATGAAGTGAAAATAATTGAGTGGTGGAAAATCATATATAAATAAAATTTGTCAAAATAAAATTTTCACAAAAATAAACATGACTAATAAAAATATATTGTTGACTGCCATGCAAGCACAAGGACCGGAGTTCAATCCCCAATACCAAAATATATACATATATATATACACACACATATATATATACACACATATATATACACATATATATATATGTGTGTGTGTGTGTGTGTGTGTGTATATATATATATATATATATATATATATATAGTTGAGGGCTAGGGATTTAGCTTAATGGTTTTGCCATCTGCCTTGCAAGCAGAAGGTCCTGAATTCGATCCCTGGTACCAAAAATAAAAATATATATATATATATGTAGTTGAACTACTGAATGAGTGAACCAGCAGGGTGATCAAAGGAAGAAAGGGGAGACCATTATTGACAGTGGGAAAAAAATGCTGGAATAAGATTGCAAAGTTATAGAAAAAAGTTCATTTTCACTTAGCAATAAAACTATAACTTTTTTTTTCTGCTGAACAAGAATAATTTTTAGTGTGGCAGGCTGAATGGAGTTTGAGTTTTGTCCCTTCCACAGGTTAACTTCATATTTACAGATTTTGAGCTTTAATCCATGTATGTTAGCCAGTAGTGATGGCACATGCCTGTAGTTCTAGCTACTCAGGAGGCTGAAGTAGGAATCTCTTGAGTCCACAAGTTGGAGACCAGCCTGGACAACATAATAAGAACCCATCTCGGGGTGGACTCAGTGGTTCCAGCGCCTGCCTCGCAAGTGTAAGGTCCTGAGTTTGACTCCCAGGTACCGAAAGAAAAAAAAAACCACCAACAACAAAAAGTAAACAATAAACCAAACAAAATTATTTTCCCTTAGGTGACCTGTAGGTGGGGTCATTAGCCAGTGATCCGAAGTAACCTCAAAGAGATACTTTATTACTTTTGGAGTTTTTTATTTATATGTTTTGGATTTTTTTCTGAACACATTTGTTGCAGAAATATATTTGCTTGTATATTCATAATAATGATAGCAACCACTTTAAAAATGTGCTCACGGTATACTTTAATACATGTCATCCTCCCAATGACCTTAACGATTCAAGCTTTAAGGATATCAGACCCAGAGAAGTTGCAGTGAATGAGGCAATGTTAATATATCAGTGTTATTATTGTTATCTAGAAGCCATACTTTATTCACACTTCCTTAGTTTCTCCCTAATGTGCTTTTTCTATCCCAAGATTGCATCCAAGATATACATGACATTTAGCCGTCACTTCTCCTCAGACTCCTCTTAACAGTGACAATTTCTCAAACTTTCTTTGCTGCTGATAATCTTGACAGCTTTGAGTAGTTCTGACCGGGTGTTTTGTGACTGTCCCTTCCCTGGGACTTGTGTGATGATTTCACTAGGGCAGTGGTGGTGAACCTATGGCACGCCTGTTATTTGTTTTTCTTTTAAGACAAAAGATGTTAATGTATGAGTTGGTTTTCTAAACTAAAACTTCAGTATTCAGGTTTAATTACAGCGTCGGCACTTTGAGATAGATAAGTGGGTTTTGTGTTGCAGTTTGGGCACTCGTCTGTAAAAGGTTCGCCATCACTGGACTAGGGTTACGGGTTTTCAGAAGAAAGACCACAGACAGAGGCCAAGTTCACATCACCCTGTACCATGGACACGTCCTGTGAAGAAGACCTATCACTGTTGCTGTTAGTCACCTGGCTGAGGTACTGTTATCAGCCTTCCTATCTGGTACTCTTTGAAGGGAAGTCACTATGGGAAGCCCATTCAAGGAGCGGAAGTCATGTTCCATTACCTTGAGGGTAGAAAATCAACCTAATTACCTGGAATTCTGCATTTTAACTTTTTTTTTTGGTACCAGGGACATTGCGCTTGCAAGACAGGTGTGATGCCACTGAGCTAAATCCCCGGCCCTGCATTTTAACTTTTTTTTTGAGGCAGGGTCTCGCTTTGTAGCCCAGGCTGGCCTCGAACTCACAGTGATCCTCCTGCCTCTGCTTCCCAAGTTCTGGAGTCACAGGCATGTGCCACCACATCCGGCTGCATTTTAACTTTTTAATCAGATATTACTCAATTTTGAAAAACTTAAAAATATACTTGCTGTTTGAATAGAATAAAACAGAGAGATGGAGACAGAGACAGAGAAAGGAGAGAGAGAGGAGGGAGAGAGAGAGAGAGAGAGAGAGAACTAAAAGTGCTTGGAGTGGGATTTCTCCCAGAGGGCTCTGAAGGCAACTGTGGGAGATTAGAATGGACTTAAAGCTAACCTTGCTGTTTCCCACCTGCGTGATCTTGAATAAGACACTAAATTTCACTTGTTTCAGCTTTCACATCTGTAGAATGGGGAAAACAGGAGCTATTAGAAGGATCCATCAGATTGCACGGGGAAAGAGTTCAGACTACAAAGTGGTGTCAAAAGAGGCCCTGGGAACTGAGTTTGATTGATCTGCTTCAGGAACTACAGAATGGAAGAGTCCTTTCCTCCTCACCACTGCCGAAATCACAGTGCATGAAGACAGCCTTGGCCTCGGCATCTCAGATGGGACAGAAACTACCACTACAGTCTTGGAGCTGCATGGTGGTAAAACACCTTGGCTTTGGAGCTGGCCTGTGACCCTGGGCGAGGTATTGAATCGGTGTGAACCTCACAGCTTTCATGCGTGGAACGGAGGTAAGAATAACACGCTCACTCTTCACATAGGGCTAGGGTGGCAAATGAATGAGATAAGGCAGCATTTAGCACCATACTTGGCCTTATCAGTATCACTTTTTGGGGGTGTTTTTGTTTTTGTTTTTTGAGACAGGGTCTTGCTATGTAGTTCAGGTTGTCCTTAAACATTATATAGCCCAGGTTGGTCTCCAACTCACGGCGACTTTCTTGCCTCAGTCTCCCGAGTGGGCCACCACGCCCAGCATCACTTTCTTACTTAATCTTCACACCCTTCCCATTGTAGAGTTGAAGAAACTGAGGCTATGAAGGTTAAGTGACTGACCCAGTGTCACCACCTGTTAAGTGGCGCTGTGGTACTTGGAGCTCAAGACTGAGACACTGAAGCCCATGGCCTCTGCCCACAGCTGAGCTTCCTCAGATTCTCTGGGCCCAGCCATCCCACCTTTCACCTGCTCAGGGATGACCCCAGCAGGCAGGGCCAGTGCTGTCCTGCACGGCTGAATCTGGGGTAGGAGGTTGAAGGCACAACATCTTCCAGCAGAGGGAGCCTCCCCCTCCTATCCCTGGCCATCTCCAGGACAACTAGAGTCCCCGGCCTTTGCTCCAGCAGCCCCACACACACACCCCCACCGGCTGAGGCCAAGCTGTTTCTCTCTAATCTCCTAATAGCTCCTGACAGGGCCTGCCTTCCTCCTCCTCGCAGCCCTTCAGGCTGATCCGAGAGAAAGGAGAGGCACCTGGGGGCCCAGCCTTGCTCTGCCTGTGCCTCCAACAATCAGTTGTCCGTCTCCTAATGTCCACTTCTCCTTCCCTAAACCCAGCTCCTGAGGCCAACAGAGGCCAGGAAACCTACAAGGTCCCTGTCTGCACAGAATGCAGACCTCAGGGAAGCCGCCTTGCTGCAGCCTCTGGAATCCAGCAGACCTGGGGTTTCTCCTGGCCTTGCCTCTCCCAACCTTCATCTCCTCCTTTGTAACATCCAACGAAGATCCAAAGATCCGTACATAGTGACTGCCACTCCCCAGGGTTGTTGGGCAACCTAAAGAGGCACATAAGGCCCTGAGCAACTCTGGCGCACACACTCAGACCTGGTATGCAAGCAGCAGTCTGTGGTCTGGCCTGGGGTTCTAAGATACCATGGTGGCAACCATTCAAATGAAGATACAACCCAGAGCCCTTCTCAGACCAGCCTCCGAACCTCTCTGCACCTTAGCCCAGGCACACTCCCAGCCCACCCGGGTTACCATGCACTGCCGGCTGGCCAAGCTGCCTCCTGGGGAGCATTTGACCCTTCCATCTCGGCACATGGGCTCCTACAGGTGGGACCACAGAGACTGCTGTTCTAACATTCACTGGGAGGTCAGCCAGGCTGGTAGGGACCATCTCTGTATTCTTAGTGCCTGGCTCATACAAGGCTTAATAAATGTGTAAAGAATTGAGTTCAGGTTCCACTAAAGCCTGGAGTGCATAGAGAGCCCTCTCATCTGCCTCCACCTCTCAGGAGCTACCCCGGTTCTAGGAGTGGCAGTGTTTTCAGTAACACCAGGGAATGCTCCAGGAAATCCCTGTTGGGTCAGGAAAGGGAGAGTAGATATGTGGAGGGAGGAGAGAACGGGTGGGGACTCATTGGTCTGTGTCCCCTTTGCCCCATACCCGGGCACCTCTCTGACCGTCACACTTTCCAAACGGCTGAAGACACCCAATCACCTCCCACACACCAAGCACCAGGCTGGCCACATCCTAGTCTCTTCTTTGCCTTGACCTCTCAGGACTCTTCACCTGTCAGCTCTCCATGACACTAGGGAACCTATCCACCCAGGACTCCTGCAGAGGTTTGGATCTGCTCACCTGCCTCCTTGCCTTCAAAGGGCCCGTGGCTTTCCACCATTAAGGAAGACACCTAGATCTGAAGGGGGAAGTCGAGGACAAGGCTTGGCCCTCCCTCACCAGCCCCTGACCCTGCCAACTCCTGCTCCAGATAGACAAACTCTGAAATTTCAACCATAGTCACACAGGCAAATGCCACACGCAGACATGCAACAGCCAGGACCCATGGGGACCTGCAGTCTCACGGCCACAAGACACACAGGCCCACTGGCCTACAGATCCCCAGTCACACACAGAGGGGCCCACACACGCCAGCATGTGGGAAGGCTTTTAATCACACGGGCACACTAACACATAGACAACACTGACCAAGAATGAACAACACAGGGGCCCCTCCTGCCTGGGTCCCAGGCCCATCCTCGCCTCCTATCCCCTGCCCCGACACTGTGTGTCCAGCTCCACACATTGCTAGTGCGACCCTGGGTGGAGTTCCTCAGTCTCTCTGACCATCAGGAGCAAGAGTTGGGAGTGCTGAAAGGACCCAACCCTTGCCCTTAGGTGGAATCTTCAGACCTCATAGCTTTCTTGGCTGTGGAGAGCCAGGGTCATTCTGAGGGAAGGAGAGAGCTGAGCAAGTTTAACCTGAACTCCTTCATGCCTATTTAGTCCAGATCAGCCTTGATACTCCATTGGGTCCCCATTCCCTACATCTGTGCAAGTGGCCTGCTTTTGGGGGCACAAAGGGGCAGAGGTCTGTGGATTTGGGGGCCCTGGAGGCAAAAGCTTGCCTGAGGCCCTCAGTCCCAAGCCCTCTGGTCCTGGGAAGGCCAGAGCCTAGGCTCAGATGCAGGAGGGGCGGGAAAGGGGCAGGATTCTTGGCATTTCCCCTCTAGCTGGAAACAAAGGCAGATTCCTGTGTCCAGCATGAGCAATCCGGTCCCACCCACTCAAGTGGCTGGAGCTGAAGGAAATCTCCCTGGCCTCTGGCCTCACCCAGCCACTCAGCCCCTTCTTTCAAACAATCACTCTCGAAGCGGTGGCCATTACCTACGCTCAAATCCTGAGGACCCTCTCCTTGTCCAAACACCTTTCCCATGGAGGTGGCTACCGTAACTCCTCAGACTCCCAGGCTTCGAGGGGCCTCGAAGCATCACCTCCTCCAGTCTCTTGCTAGTCGCCTCTGCCTTTCCTTACCCAGGCCAGGCCTTTCATTAGAGTAGGGAAAAGTCCAGATGCTGCAGGAAGACCTGTGCCATCCAAAACGCTCACCATGGCCCTCAAGGCATCGGCGGTGGCTGGTTTCAACCGAACATCCCCAGACCAAGGTCACTCATTGTAGTGAATTAACCAACATGGCTTCCTTTTCTGCATCGGGGTTGCAGCTCCAGGACAGGGGCTGGGTGCCATTGTTCTTATGTGGAGAAGCACCAGGAGATCCTTTCTGGGACCAATCAAATAGGAACTCAAGGTTTGGCTATATTATTTAAATTTATGAAATAATCATATAACAATAATTTGAGGGAGGAAATGACTTAAACCCCGAAGCTTTTGAATAATGCCTGAAGTTTTAAGATGTAAAGACAGCCACGAACACATGATTGAGTTACTGAGGCAAATGTCACAAAAACAAACACGTAGCTGAAACTACAGAAGGGGTGTTCCTAATAAGAGGACCTTGGGAAGGGTACAATTGCTTCTCATTATAAACTTTCTTGTGGATTTTATTTCCTTATTTTTCACTGTGCCTGCTTGCGATTTAACTTTTTCAAAATGGCTGCGTCTTGTATTATAGCCCTCTCCAGTGAGTACCTATTGACTTGTGTAATAGCCCCTTGGGTAGCTGTCAGAGAAGACAGTCTTGATCACTTGTCTTTGAGTGGGTGAAACAGGAGCTGTGCCGCTGCCACACATGCCGACTGCTTTTGGCTCTCCTTACTCCTGGTTCAGTGCTCTTTCTCCTGTCCTACAGCTCTGCCTTCTCCCTTCCAACAGACCAGACATCCGGGTTGGCTTCACAGCTGGTAGAGGACGTGGTCTTGTACTTTGCTGTTAGTCTCAAAATGTGGTAGAGAAGGGGTTATCAACCCCTTCCTGCAGGTATGGAAGCTGAGGCTGACACGCAGGTGGTGCACCTCCCAGCATGCACTCTTCCCCCTGACTCTCCTGTCCCTCAGCGCCAGGTCAGTTTGGTGGAGCCAGCTCAGAAGTCCAAGAAGCATGTGGGGAGAGGCAATCCAGAGCTTGTTACACTGGCAAGAGGAGATGGCGCTGGAACAGCTTCCTTAAATCCTATCTTCAGACATGCCACAGAGACCGCCCCCTGTGGCATCCAATGGCACCTTCTAACCTCCAGCCTCCCCTGCCCTGATGTGACATTCTTCCCTCATCCTGGAACTTTCCCTCAGGTTTCACCCTGAGATGAGTCATCCGGAGAGCTCAGAGGCGGGCAGGGAGTAGACAAACCCAGCCAGACCTGGAAGAGCTGGGAGAAAGAGGAATATGGCTCAGCTGCTCAGAGTCTGAGATCTGGCTGAGATCTGTCAACAACTTCCTGGGGAGTTGACCAGAGCTCTGGCTTCCCCACCTCTCCTGAATGAGCTACCAGTGAAATCACCTTTTGACCTGAGTTATAGTGACAGAAACTGGGTCCAGGTAGTTTCCTGAATCTTAGAGCCAAAAGAATAGCTGGGAGAAACCTTCAGGATTCTCTGGCCTAAATACCCCAGTGTACAAAGGAGGAAACTGAGGCACAAGGAAGTGACCCAGGCCTGGAATCCAGGAATCATGACCCATGCTCACTATTTTTTCAAAATACCACCATGCTTTCCACCCTGAGCTGAAGGACACCTGAAGGGTCATTTCCTCTCCTTCTTCCTCCAGGCAAGACTCAACTCCATTCAGCTCACTGCACTAAAAATCTCTCCTGTGTTTTTTATTATTATTATTATTTTGTACCAGGGATCGAACTCAGGACCTTGTGCTTGTGAGGCAGGCAGCACAACCACTGAGCTAAATCCCCAGCCCACTCTCTCCAGTGTTTTGGAGAGACAAATGGTATCTGCCCCACTTCTCCCTCAGAGATCCCTAATTGCTCCTCCTTGAGCACTCTGTTCTACTAGGTTTGTGTCTCTTGCATTTGAAAAAAACCCATAGGTTGTCTAATCTAATTTTCC